AGGAAGTGATAATATCCCTAGTGTCAGTCTCTGATTGCTTATGTTGCCTCATTCCAGCGTCTGTTTGTAGTTATTTGTGTCTGATACAGATTTGACACAGCTTACCTCTCCCACCTTCTGTGCTCATTTCACTGCCAGTCCTCCAGACAGACCCCCGCGGGCACAGGAGACACTGGGACTGTCAGTGGCTGGGGCTGGACTCTGTTTTCTTTTTTTTTCCTATGGCACCAGCTCTACTTTGCAGAGCATGCTGAACCTTTGTCCTTCTCCACAGAGTAAGAACATAACAAAAGGCCCATGGCAGGTCACAAATTGAGTTCAGCTGGGGGAAGTCCTGCAATTAGCAAATTCTCTCTTCAAAAAATAGTTGATGTGTATATAGGTATGTACTAGATAAAAAAAGGAGGCAAAGGAACATGCTTCAGGCAGCTGAAATAGTAATAGAGCTGATTAAAAGGTCTGTGCTTATTTTTGCAGTACAGAAGCATAGTGATATTACAGCAATTCCCCTATATTTTCTCTTGATGCTACCGAATGGTACCCATAAAGGAACTTTGCAGCACTAAAACCTACCATTTAGAGAGAAATTTATGAAAAATGTATATATATTAAATTTTTATGTATTAAAAAAACCCCAGTGTATATCATTTAAATGTACACACGTACATATGTATAAAATAAATGCATATACAAAAATATGAAGAAACCCTGTTGAGGAAACCTGAAGAGCACAGCTCTGATTCTGCTTTCATTTGTGACATTGCACACTGGGAGAAATATTGTGGAATTCAATGACTGTAGAATGCATTCAAGAACAGAACAAATCTTTATTGGCAGGAACTGACATCCAGAGAAGTAAATGGTGGTCCTGTTGAATTGAATAGTTGTCAAATGAAATCCTGTGAACTCACAGGAGAAAAAGCATTACAAAATGCTTCCAGCATGAGCAGAATTAAGAGGTGAAGTTATAGCCTATAAAAGGCATGATAATGACGAAGAGTGGGTGACCTTTTCTTTTATTCCCTTTCTTCCCTCTTAACATAGGGTAACTCTTGCTGAGTTCAGCCAGATTTGCATGAGTGTAAGATTAGATCAAAATTAGGCCCAGGTTGTTTGTTCTACCAACAGCATGTGTCTCAAGACTGCTGTCATGTTTCCCCACAGAAGCAGAGGTGCATGTAAGGCTGGGTGCTGCCAAGACCTGATCAGTGGGATTCAAGTAAGAATTTCTGGCAGACTGAGTGTTCCCATTAATCGCAAGTCGTATCTCTTAAACCCTTAAATTACAAGAGATTAGTGGGAAACTGGAGCATTGGACTAAAGGAATAATGACAAGACAGGAATTGATGCAGAAAACCTACTTTCTTCTTTTTAAGGAGAAGTTCAATTTACAGTTTAATTATAAATTGCAAGCATAAAGTGTTTGAGTTCTTAAACTTCACTGTTGGGTTAGTTTCAAATTAACCATACTGTATTTCTGCCTTCCCCAGTGCAGCATTGTGATGTTCAGCCTGTCTGTTCTGTAAATCGAACCAAAGTCTTCTAAGTCCATCAGGTTCCTGTGCTAACCCTGTGTTGGGTTTTTGTTATAGTCACAGGTCCCATGGCATATGCTCAACGTGTATTTTGCACAGCTAGGATCTAACTGTCTTCTCAATTAAAGTAATGTAAATCAGGAACAATTTGAAAGAGTTAGAATGGTGTGAAGCTGGCCTGGAAGAATATCTTAGGATCTACAAATTGCCAAATGAGTTCGAATAGTCTACTGCTACTACTTGTGTCCAGTATCTGTCACATTCATGCAGTCATCTTTACTTTTGCTAGCATGTGATTTTTTTCTGAAGACTGTCACACAGATTTGTGTGTGCTACTGTGGACCAGGAACTATGCTGCCCAGGAAAAGCATTTTTATTATGCTTATAGCAAAAAGAGTAGCCTTAGCTTACAATGTAGGTGCCTACATATCAGGTAGTCCTTTAAGAAGCATGTGGTGGTATAGAGAAAGTAAGAAGCATTTGTGGAGTACAATGCATCTTATCTGGAAAGCACGTCTTTAACATAGACCATGTGAACTAAGTACTAGAAGTGCTTCTTTCTATTTATTGTCTTCAAAGAGGTTAGACAACTGGCTTGGAGACAGCTCCTGCGGGGTGATCTAAATGGAGACAAGAGGGATTATCCATGACAAATTGTGCCAAGGAGCACAGACATCTTTATGCTAGTTGCAAACAAAATAGCTTCAGAATGAAAGTGGTCTAGCTATCAGGATACCCATACGTAATCAATATGATATTACTCTGCCCTGACACACATGAATGTGGCCTTTTCCACCTTAAATGATTCTATGATGCCATGTAGATGTAGCACTTAGGGACATGGTTTAGCAGTGGACTTGGTAGTGTTAGGCTAATGGTTGGACTTGATGATCTTATGGGTCTTTTCCAACCTAAGTGATGTTATGATTCTATGAACCATTAAGTCTCAAAACAATGCACAGGAAATACAAAGGTTTATGGCAATAGCGGTATTTTTCTTGCAAAATCCTGTATTGGCCAGTTTTGAGGAACCAATGGTCAGAAAATGTGTGCTGTTAGACAGTTCCTGGGACTTCTGAGTTGAGCTTGTTTTTTTGTAATGGTTCATTCAGTTTATCTGATGCAAGTAAATTTTTAGAATTTCAGTTAGATTTGCCTTTTACTCCAGGGAAGGAGAAAGCTGATGCCTCAGATTCTGTCACTATAGCTGTTGGAAGTTAGGAGGATTTGCAGTATTACTTCACTAAGAAGTGACAGGTATTAATCTGATTTTGTGTGAGCTGGTTTAAATTAGAACCCAAGCCAGTAATATTATGGTGTAACAAAGCTGGTGTAGCTGAAGTTAAAACTGAATGCCCATACATTTTGAGGCCAGAAAGAACTCACAGAGCGTCTGTGTATGAAGGGTTGTTAAATTTCACACACTATCCTGTCTCCAAAACCCAAAGAAACTTAGCCCCAGGGTATTCAATTAACTCTCTTTTGCACACAGGGATCAAGGATCTGGAAGACATGGGTTCATAGCAGCCAAAAATACAGATAAACTTATAGGGAAATAGTTTCCTAAAGCAGATATTTTAAAATAGTTGAGGAATAGCATTTGCTCTCATTTCCAGCAGATCAGTCTAATGCTCTTGATATTAACATCTGTTTAAAAGTGTAGGAAAAGCCAAAGGCATCCAAAGTTGAAAATAGGAAAACAGATCAAGACCGATATTAGTTTTTGTTTTCTTGCTCCTCAAGGATTCAGTGTTGCACTCCCCACCCTTCCTGGCTAACTCGACTAGTGCCTTCCATCTGAGCTGCCAGGAGACCTAGGGCTAGAAGAAACATTCAAATCTTGCCCAGTTCCTGTGGATGAGGGTGTTGGCTGCCCTTGTCCACAGTAGAAATCAGCTCTGCTTAGGGTTGGGTTTATAAGAATGCTTTTGGCAAAATATTGGAAGTGGCATTTTTCTTTTAGAGGTTAGTTTTCACAAGTAGCTCAGCTGAGCAGCTGAGAAGAGAACGCATTCACACCTGAGCAGTATTTTTCCT